TACCGACGTTGCGGAAGAACATTCTGCTTCAATCTTAAGGATAGGAGAATATTCAGTCATGATGACTGAGGCAGAAGGTTCATCCGAAACGCCGATATCTCTCCATCAAACATGAGCGTCGCCACGATTTCTATTTCCAAGAGTGGAGGGGGAGCCAAAACATGAACTTACATCTGGGCAATGTAACAACAGGGTTACGGATCGCCCACCGGAGGGTGAGGTGCCTGGTTCCCCCGCCCGTACCGGTGCCCATCCCGACGAACTATATCGTGTCATGTCTCAGAAGAGTGTAATCTTAATAGTGCGCAGTGAGATTCTCAGATCTCACATAACCATTTTCATTTGAACTTTAAACTACGTAATCGTTACAAAAATTGAACAATCATACCGGATTTCTTTTTTCAAAAATGTTTTTAAATGTCAAAGGCGCGAGATTACACTGTGCTTTAACCTTTAGCCCTTCAGGACTAGGTACACGTGCCAAGTAAGCAGAAAAGCCCGGGAAAATGACCATCACATATTATGAGTAATTCACTGCAGTGTAGGCTCCGGAAATGTTTCCTAAACGTATCGGTGTTGGGAGCCAAGATTGTAACTTCGTAAGGCATTGAAAATCGCTTCATGAAGCTGTGTGGAGCTAAACACAAGACGTCTACACGTGTCTACCCCCATTTCCAGCCCTGTCCACTATTCACAGCACAAGCTAAAGATAAACAACGCACTGTGGAACGCAGTTTGCCAAATTTGGTCAACACCTCCTCTGCTGAGCTTCGCTTTTCGCTTGGAGATACACAACGCCTGCGACAGCCCACTATCTCCTCATTTCATTAACAGTCGTCACACTGGTATGTATTATTGTACTTGGTAGCAGTCAGTGCCCAAACACAGGCAAATCGATCATACCCCGTAGCATTAACATAAAGTTCAACTCTATCGGGATGTGACGTATACGCTCGAAACCAAAATGCACAGTAGTTACTAAGTTCATGTGCCACTCAACATTAAGAAAACTGTTCATTTGCCCACGCAGTGTATCTGTGTGTTCCGTATGGTTCTCACAGTAAAGAGCGACTGTTTCCCTTAAACAGCATTAACCGGTTGGGCTCTGTAGCGGAGACGTAATGTGTTTCCTGTGAGGTACGCACTGAATTGCTATATATTTGCCCACACAGTGTATCTGTATGTTCCATATGGTTCTCACAATAAACAGCGACTGTTTCCCTAAACAGCATTAACCGGTTGGGCTCTGTAGCGGAGACACAGTGTGTTCCCTGTGAAGTCCGAACTGTACTTAATGCTGTTGAGATTAATTTTACGCTGAATAAAATAACTTCGCCAACAGCAGCCACGCTCCAACAACCGAATACGTCCTTTTTTTCCCCCTGTGGCGCTACAGCCCCAATTTGGGCCTAGGCCTACCTCCATGAAACTCTCCGTTTCACTTCGGTTTACTAGATCTTACACATACGGTAGGACTCCTTGGGCGAGTGATCAGCTCGTCGCAAGGCCTCTACCTGTAGACAAACACAGAAAAACGCACACAAACATCCATGCCCTGAGTGGGATTCGAACCCACGATCCTGGCTTCCGAGCGAGCGAAGACAGTACACGCCTTAGACCGCTCGGCTACAGTGACCGGCGAATACTTCCTTTACCACCTGGCATATATTTCGAAACACCTTGCAGAGCACAAACGTTAAGTTATACCGCACTGCTTGCATGATCACTTTGAAACCTGAAATTCATTTAAACAATATTTAAAACTTCAGTTCTTGCCTCCAGAAAACACACTGGATCGGCACTGCAAAGACCAACTGATTTATGCTGTTTATGAAAACAATCGCTGTTCATTGCATACCACGAAAACATATGCCAGTAAATACACTCTGTGAGCAAAATGTAAAGATGGTTAATGTTAAGAGTCGTGGTACATATAGTTACCAGTGTGCAAATTGGTTTCCATCGGCCTGCGTGTCTTGGAGTTGTTATCAAAAACAAATTACAACAGGCATGTGCACATTCACATGACGTAAATACTTGAATCAACGTCGTGTAACTGTCCGCTCAGATACTCAAGTATGATGCCATTTTCCCTGCCTGAGCTTAGAAGCTGCTTGTTACCATTCATTCTACGGAAGAAACACTGCTCAATATACGCGAAGCCTTCCTACGAGAACAATGACATCCTCTTAACTGCATAGCCTCTCCCTGTCTCGGGGTGCAAAGATTCATTTCAATTCAGGACGCACAAAAAAAAGCACGACTCTAGCCATTAGTTGAGCTAATATATATCTCCACGAATTCCTTCTCATTTTCTCTGTTTGCTCATTATTCTGTTATCTCTTCAAGGCTAACAAAAACCTAAAGGATAATGTTTGCCTTCTGGTACAATCTCCAGCACATTAACTAAATGTATAGCTGACAGCGGGCTTCAAAAATGCCGATGTCTGAAAGCAAGGAAATCTTGGTCTACAGTAGCGGTCAGTTGAGGGGTCTGGCCTACAAGGGGGCCCACTTGCTGAGGCACACACATTTTTCAGACCGAGAATTCGCAAGCCCAGCTACGCCGACCCTGTGTTCCTCTCCCTGCGTTATGCACGGGTACCTGCGGTTTCGAGTTTTATGTTGGTACGGTTAAACACCATTGCCGGGATACCTCAGTCGGTGTAGTAATTAGGCTACGGAATTGGGTTCGATTCCCGACAGGGGCAAGAGATTTGTCTCTTCTCCACGGCATGTAGACCAGCTCTGAGGCCCACACAACGAGTCAGTTTCTTTCCACGGGGTAAAGCAGCTGGAATGTGAAGCTCGCAGCTCACCTTTATATAGAGCCTCAGTTAAGAATGCGTGGAGCTATGATGCCTGTAATTCCCCCTACGTCATCGCGGCGTGACGCCCAACTTTACCCTACACATTTTGATAAGAATCGCCTGATATAATCCAGATTTTCTGCACTGTAAATTATACAAATTTTCCAGAAGGAAATGGAACCAAAGAAAACAAGGCGATAGTGTTTACTGTCCTTATCTAGTAGTTACTAATGCCATGGGGCAGAGTCCAGTCTGAAGAGATAACACTCGCTCAGCTACTCATGAAATTCCCCGTTCTTCATGGAGCACGAAGATTTCTTTGCATTTTGACAAGAATCTATCACTGGGTCAAATTAATTCAGGCTACAGTCTCCACCCCATTTCTTAATAAGCGTTTTAATAATATCCTCCCACATTTGTATTTCTTCCAACAGGTAGGTATTCAAACAAAAATGTTGTATGAATTTTAAATATATCTTATGCATGCTACATACCCACTAACTTCGTCCTCCTGTATCTGATAATCCTAACAATGTTCGGGTCTCCAAGTATCCGAGAACAAATACTTTTTGTGCAGCATACAAAAAAAAATCGCAACTGACTTATCTCAAGTTTATGACCAGTTAAGTATTATAATTTGGGGCACGCGACAGCGTGCTTGGTTGAGGCAATATGCTGCAAGCTTGAAGGTTGCAAGTTCTAGTCCTGATGGGGTAAATGTTTTCTTTCCCCCCCCCCCCCCCAATTTACCTAATCCTTCCAGCCGCACTATAGCCCTGGGATTGACTCAGTCTCTAACAGAGATGAGTACCAGGAAAATTCCTGGGGGGTAAAGGGCGACAGGCGCGTAAGGCTGTCAATCTCACCACAATCTGTGGGCCGATTGTCTAGAAGATGACGGAGCCTCGACCTCTCACAGCCCTATGGGCCTTCACGGCCTGTTATGGGGGCAGCTTTACCTTTCACCCTTTTAAGTATCACAAATCACCACAATTGTAATATTTAATGATAAGAGGTGTAGCATTTATAGCATCAGAACAAAAATACATATTTTATTTTACATATAAACCTTAATCCGCTTCAAGAAATAAGAAAAGCACAATACAATCTACTATGCATTGCACCATCTCGATAGCCAAAAATTAATCAATACAATCCAAGATATTAAATCTTAAAAGATAAATATACTGAAATCCATAGGACACCATGGTATAAGCACTCACAGTGTTAAACATTTGAAGTGTGAGATACATAAAAATAATATTAAAGAATTCAGTTCCCATCGCACAGAAAACACAACTGTATCTCCGGTACAAAGATCAACCGGTTAATGCTGTCTAGGGAAATAATTGCTGTTTATTGTGAGAATCATATGGAACAGGAAAAGTTTCTTCATGTTATAGCATATGGTACAACAGTTATCACCGTGTCTGAATGAACGCTTATTTCTTCTGTTAACTTAACATAAAATGTATTACATGTTCCTAATCCCACTTGCCAAGACCTCTGGGATGGATTTATATCTACCTATAAAAGTAACCTTTAATGGAACTCATTATAAGCTTGACTGTACATGAAAACTGACTGTAGGGTACAAGGCATAACAACTTGCATTCCAAAAATAATCATCATTTTTAATCAAACTGAGATGGAAATAAATGTATATCTCACTTGTGCTGTACACTGTCAATCAAGACTTACTGTTTACATGCACTGTACCACTTATTGATGGTATATAGTCAGACTTACTGACAGCATCGTTCAATATACCATACACAAATAAATAAATAACTAAATACCAATAAGGTTACTTCTAAATGTTATTATATGTACATCTTAAATACAAGCAGCATTAAATATTTTTAGAATGAAAAATGTTTCATATGTAGGTATTCTATAGATAATTTGTTTAAATCAAACTTGGCATTTGAACTTGCACAGAGTTTTCTCTGCTTAAAACACCAGTTAAGCTTCATACATATTAAAACACTGTCAATTTAAACACCTGTCATTTGTCTACTTCACACAGAACAGAACAGGCAATTTATAATTTAACGACCGTATGTCCTGCATTATTTAAGACAGTTTTAGGTGTATTCTTCAAAACATAATCAAAACCACGCCAACAATCGCCTCTTTTTATTAAGTTTTCAGTAAAAATTGTATCAAAGTAATCTTGAATGAACTCACCTTGCTAGAGGGCCACTCCTCTTCGCTCGTTGACTGAGTATTTTCTCCACAACAGGAATATTTCCATTTCTTGCTGCTTCCAACAGCTCCTGGTCCTTGCCCATGGCCCATTTACTCACATAAATTGTTAGTAAATTACATTAGTTAAATAAACAATTTACACTATAACTACTCTACCACAAATTTCATTGATCCATCACCACCATATTGAAGCGACTAGTGCGCTCTCAAACGGCAGACAATGGAAAGGGAAGTAGAAGAAGTACGATTGCAGTCATGGCGTACAGCGTTTCGTGATCCGAAAGAAGTGTGCTGAAAAATTATTTGTGTTGGACGAATAACTGACAGTGCAGAGTTTATTACAGTTTCATAGTGTGTTCATTTGCCTAATAGTTATGATGGTTATTACATTTCGTTGGTTCCTTGCTAGAATAGTTTTATATATAAGTTGTATATCCGTCCTGTTTATCAGTGATAGCACTGCTGTCATTCCAGGCAAGTATTGGCAGTAATGGACTGTGGAATGCCAGAACTTTTTCATGTGACACATTGAAGTAGCACTGAAGGAATTCATTTAGACTTATGACTACTACTCATGTGGTAGACTTGCATTACCAAGAAATGGTTAACTTTTAGCATGTGTTCCAAAAATTTCGTATGTAGTTCTGTGTATATTTATGTATATTTTACATTAAAAATAATAATTATTTTTATATTCATATATACATATATATAGTGATCTTGTGTAGGTCTTAATGTGTGTACTTATTTGTTTGTTGTATAATTTTGGTAGCTAACTGTGCGCGCCCCTAGTTTTTTTCTATCGAGCGGGAAGTGGCAGCCAAAAAGTTTGATTACAAATTTGGGTTTGAGCCTTTTAAAACTGTTTTTATATGTCGCTTTAAGTTCAGCATAAAATAATAAGTTTAAAAAGATATTTTTAAATGTTGGTATGAAAAGTTGGTATATTTCCTCTTCTTTCAGTTTGATCTTTTTTTATATCGGAGTGAAGGGGCGAAAGAGATGGATTCCTCACTGCCAACTCCCGCGTAATAAACATATCATTAATGTAGCGTAAATTTAGCAGTTGCAGTGTAATTTTTGTAACGTCTATAAACAGCTGCTGAGAATATTATTAGTGCTGTAATTATGTATGTGATTAAGCCTGTTGTTGAGAATTTTGTTAGTGTGCTATGTTGCTGTAACTGTATTGTATTTCTACCTATTTTCTGAATGATGCACATTGTACATCTGTTTTCTACGAGTAGTTACCAGAAATTGAGTTGCATCTGTGTATTTAGTTCTAGCTCTAATGATATCATTTTTTTTTCAGATGGAGGATATGTAAATATATCTCTCGAAAATTACAATACCTCATCCATAGCAGGGCGTCTGATTAAGGATGTAAAACAAATTCTTCCACTTTCCACAATAATTTTAAATGTTATCAGGATTCCAGAGACAGTGCGATTCATAGTGGTGCAGGCTCACACTTTCCAGTACAATGTAACACTCTCGTATGATGCTATCTTGAGTCCGCACTCATTTATAAACGGTACAAATTTGGGGTTGGTACAGCTAATCAGTAAAAATCAAAGCAATGCAACATTCTATATCCAAAATACAAATGCAAGACCCAGCATCACGGTTCTCATAACTGTACAAGGTTATGGTGAAGAAGGTAAGTTTTCTTATTGCTCATGATATTGTGTGGGATATGTTATTATTAAATAGTGTGTTTAATCAGCATTGAACAAAATGGATTCTGGTATGTAACTGTTGTTTTCTCATCATAACACATTATTTACATGTGTTTGTTTTGACATTAGCTCCAGTGCCAGGTGGGTGTAATGTGGAGTTCTCAGTCAAAACTGCCCCATATTTGATTATAAGCTTCACAGAATCTTTGATCTTTGTGGATAGTCAACCAGCTTCAGCCGCGGTACCATATGACAAACCGCGCCCTGCCTGTGAACCCCAGGTTGTCCAACATGAGATGTACCACATGTTTTTACCAGAAAGAGACTTTTCATCAGACTCTTACTTTGATGCACTCTTGAAAATGATGACTGTTGAGGACATACAGCTGAATGGACGCAAGGTAGGACGACACTCATTGTTAACTAGATGTCACAGTCAGGCAGGTAGCATTTTGAAAATATATCATTCGTGAACAGACATGATACATATATATGATTTGAAGCAACTAGCCATGTGAAGATGGAGTTAGTACGCAGTGGAGGCTGCACGTGGTAGTGTAGTTGGTTGAGGCACTATACTAAAAGCTGGAAGGTTGCGGGTTCAAGTCCCAATGAGGTGGATATTTTTAGTTGACCTAATCCTTCCAGCCGCACTATGGCCCTGGGGTTGACGCAGCCCCTGATAGAAATGCGTACCAGGAATCTTCCTGAGGGTAAAGGGAGGGAAGCGCGTAAGGTTGGCAACCTCACCGCCATCTGTGAGCTGATAGTCTTAGAAAATATGGGAGCCTCGACATCTGACAATCCTATGGGCCTTAATGGCCTGTTACAGGGATAGCTTTAGCTCTGCCTCAGTCAGAAGGGCCACACATTGTAGTCATAAACACAGAAAATGCTCTTGGCTGGCATGTGTGGCTGCATCGCTTGTTACATCAACCCCCGATGATGGTGAAAGTGACAATTCAAAACATTTTATACTGACTCCATCTTCACCTGGCTTATTGTCCAGAAAGGCTTCATTGTAGGGTACAGCTGTGGCTGTTTGCTACATTTTGGAGCACTATTGTCTCATGTTCTAAGAACTGTGTGATCAGTCTAGTTCTTATTGGTTAATTAATCACATATATTGTGGTGATCATTTGCTTTGTGTCTAGTGAGTACAGGTGCATCACTGAGTATTAAAAATATGGAAGGAACTAGCACAGCTCATTAAATGAAATCATTCTGTTTTAATAGCACAGTCTTTTGAGTGAGTTGTTTTATTTTAGAGGGTGTGTTAAAAATTTCACAGTAACTGAAATCATTCATTCTATTGTATTTTAATGTGTTGTTCAATTAGCTACTTTATTTCAAATGTGATAGCTTCCAGGCCTTTATGCACTCTGATTTTTCTTTTTCAGTGTATGTGTGTGATATTAAATTAAATGAACAGTTAGCAAAATTAATTTTAAATTGGTGCACAATATTCAGGTTCCAGAACCTTTGGAGGGTTCTGTTATGCAGCAGATTTACAGTGCTTACCCTGGCACAGGCTCAGTGTACACTGTCACTGCAAAATTTGGAACATCTGTCGCTGCGTATGTACCTACTGTGACATATGCCTGCAGTACTGTGTACTGGACAGACACTTGTCTTGTTCTCAGTGAGTTCATGAATTGTACATTTTATGAAATATGATGAAACAAATAGATAATTTTTTCTCAATATTTACAAAGTTGTTCATGTTTCAGGTACTACATTTTCGAGGGTTTTATGTGCTGTGATATTTTTCCTTGGTCTGTTTGTCTGTCTTTATGGACACCAGTTTTTCAAGACAGAAACATTTTTGCTTGGTTTTCTGTCTGGAGGACTAATTTTCTACATTTTAATAGCAGCCTTTTCAACACTTAGTGCCTCAGGTATGAAATTATGCATATAACTGATGCCCGATAGTTAACGACTTTCTGTAGGAATGAATAATGAACAGATTTGTTCCGATCTCTTTGGATTGATTGAAAATTGAAACAGATTCCATGAGTACAGTCTTTTATTTTGTATTAATAAACAGGTCACAGAATTATATGAGTCATCACTTTCTGTACCCACCTCTAGTAACACATTACAGTGGGATTGTCTGACAGTGTAGAAGAAAGTGTACTGGGTATGTCCTAAAAATTGTTTCCTTGAAATAAATGTCAGTTTGTACTTGTGCATTCCAATGGGAAATAACTTGTAGTGACATACAGACAGTTCTGTGAGCCTCAGATTAGAAGAAATCACAGATGACATCCTCAGGTGGGGTTGTTATGGTAGTGATATGGTGGTTCTTTTGGTGAGTTGAGATGCAATTTCCTGCAGTGGGATCATGTTGTGTTTGTGTGAATTCTCATTTCAGAAAATGTAGTGGTGTCAGTGGTGCTAGGGCTGTGTTTTGGAATATTCTGGATGGGATTGTGGTGGTGCTATGGAATACCAGTGTTGTCTGTTCTCCTCGCTACTCTGACGCTGGGCTTTGTGGTCGCAGGCATTGCAACTTATGGTTGGTTAGGTATGCTACATTTGTTCGTTGGAAAAGTGTCAGGACATGTCATCTCTTTTGGTGTTTCAGTGAAGTGGTACGTCTGTCCATCTTTGAATCTAGTTCTGTATTAAACCAAAAAAACAAAAACTAATCTTTTAGGAAATGCGCTGCGTGCTTTAACATTCATAAATTTTGCATTTTATCACGATTATATTTATGCGTTTCACATGATTCTCACATTAAACATCAATTATTTCTGTAAACAGTATTAAGCATTTACTAATAGAGGGCTCAGTATGCTTTCTGTGATGAAAGAGCTGGATTTTTAGATAAAATTTTGGCGTTCTTCATGTTTCAGAGGGTTAAAGGTTCATGTCAAAATATTTTGTTTTCAGGAGATGTCAGTGTACTAAGAAAAGATATCAACTTCTGGGTGGTCTTTGCTTCAATCACAGTCTTAGTTTCTCTGCTGTTTCTCTCACTAGTGCAGAAGGCAAACATTATTTCATGTGCTGTACTTGGTGCATATTCTGTTATCATTCCAATTGATCATTACATTGGTTCCAACTTGAAATATATCATAGTCAATATTATCCGGCGAGCTACAGTGAAAGATTTCAGGATGGCAATTATAGATCCTCCATTTCAAATGAGAGGTGAGTTAATTTATTCAAATTTATTAATCTTGAGTTAGGAATAAAATAATTATGTAGTAATGTGTGTATGGCTTTTTTCAACCAACAGTAAAGCAGTATTACTTATAAGTGCTTGATTTTCTCTTTTTTTTATCAGTTTATCTCATATCTTACCTGTGTCATTTTAATGTGCATAAAGTCTTTCAGTCTGATAGTTCCACATCAGTGGTTGTCAAACAATTTCTGTTCTCTCAGACTGAAATTTAATTTTGTGTGATAATTATGAAATATGATTGGAATCCATACCAACTTAAAATTCACTGCATAATTTTCATGTGAATATTGATATCGAGGAAACATTACAGAAATAAGTGTCTTGCGGAAGAAAAATAAATTAAAACATGCATTCTTACCAATTATTGTTCTCATTCTGCATTTTTCCTAAGTTTCTTTTCTTATTCTTCCCATGTTTTTCATGATGTTTATGTAACTTCTATCCTTCCATGTCTTACCAGATGTGATCAGCCGTGCCATCCTGCCCGACACTAGTGATAAGCCATAATACCCTCTTAGCTACTGGTTTCAAACTCTGTTTTACATTACATACCTTCAGAATTGATTATGTGATGCATGCAGTTAGAATGAAGCTTGTACTCCAATTGCAGATGCAGTTCTGTGTACAGTTTGGATTGCACTTGCAGTAGTTGGTGTTGTGGTTCAGTGCTATAAACAGCAAGGAAAGCCACCATTCCCACCTCCTCCAAACACAAGGCACAGGGAATATTTCAGACGAATGAGGTTCCCTTGTGCCAGCCAGGCCTCAAGAGAGCACACACCACTGCTTATTGAGGCAGATGTTCCAGCAGCTCGCATTCCTTGTATCACCACTTCACTTGAGAATGATGACGTATTTGAATCGCCACAACGTTCACGTTGTGTTTTCTGTTTCTTCAAACGATGTTAACAGGCAGCTTAAAATACTGAAATTATCTTCTTCTGCCTGTGTTTAATTCGGTAACTAGCTTTACAGATTTGTTCAAGCAGCACTAATAACTGTCATATTTGTTAGTATGTGTATGTATTGTGATTATAATGTATTTGGGATTTTCTGCTACCAGGGAAGTGGAATAACATCTGTTTTGCTGGTTGTGTTATGAGTACTTACTGACTCCTTGTTCTGATGCTTGAATTCTGTATGCCATAACATTATACAGGATTTTCTTTGAAACTGTTCCGTAATAGAATGTGTACTTCATATCTCGGTGTACAGTACCCACATCCCCAGATTTAACACCCACTGTGCACAAAAATGACCCAAGAAGCATATAACAAATGAAAGTGAATAGTGAAGATGCCATCAGCAGCACAGTGGAAACTCTTACATGTCCCCTGTTTCCATACTTCATTATAATGTTTGTTGGTGTACTCTCCCTTCATATGTAGAACTGTTTATCATATACGTTTATAACTTTACATTGTATTTACATACATCGCTTCAGCCCTTATATTGTTTGTGTCTTAAAGTATCAACCTCAAGTGTTACTATGTGTTACATCTGCGACTGAAGTCCTACATTTGTTATGTTACTTTGTTTTATAGTATGATGTGTTTTTAAAAATTTTAATTATGTGTTCTTATGAAGTCCATGAATTGTTTTTGTTTGGATCATATCACAGATTACAAATAAAGTTATTTATTCTCACTGATCGTGTTCTTATTTCTGATAATTAATTGATGTATATAATAACATTACATTTCTGGAATTTACTGCTGTGTAATGCACCAGTGCTTTGGAGAAACCTGCTGCCTTAATCTTCAGGGTAAAACAAGTCTTAATTGGTGCATATATTAAGTATTATAACATTTCAAAACTGAATGACTTCTGAGGATATGCATGTATGTGATATTCTGTCATTAGTTTTCACAGTAATGCTTTACAGGAATGTCTTAATGTAAGGGATGTTAGTTTTGTTTTCTTTTTAGGCTGGGTTCTTTGTGTAAAAAATAATAAAATTGGCAAACACAATTTTTGTACACATGAAAGATGTCCTATATCATGTAACAATGATCTATAGAGAGGAAATAATTAAATTTCATTAATGTGTGATGAGTGCTGTAGGTCAAGCAGATGGGAGTCGTATGTCACGGTGATAGCAAGGGCTTGTGGTAACATTGGGTGGCACACATAGTAGGTTATGTTATAATTATGTACTAGTGATTTTCTTGAAATCAAGCTTTATATGAAGAGGATTGCATATCACTCCTTACTTGCTGTATCATTTGGTGCTTTGGAGTCTGAGCATCTGATATCACCATATAAACATATATATATAAATAAATAGGTTCTTATAGGGATATGTATTGTGTCCGATTTGCTTACTACAGATAGACACACACACACACATTGTTCAGAACAAAAGACTTGCATAAATTTGATGGATGAAACTTTGAGGTTATGTTGTGTGATGTGTCAGTTTAACAAATTTATATTAATGGATAGTATGGGCAGTGATAGGCCATGAATCACATAATTATTCATTTATAATTTCTGCTTCCCTTGGTTATATATGTCTTATAGCATAACTGTCTATGATGTAAAGTGCATTCCATCTTTAAATTAGCCATCTAGCTTAACATAAGGAGTGGTGATACAGCAGGACAACTTGCCATTTGTTTTCTGCAGTCTCATGAAGTCACCTTGCATTTAATATAGGATTATGGGATTTCATATGGTAATACTTCTTAAAAGAAATTGCACATTTGTTTGGGTCAGATGAATAGGATGTAAAAAGTAATGCAAATAAAATCCACATTAATCTTTCTGTTTGAAAATAATTAACCATTACAGCTAGACATGTTAAATAGCTATTATAAACATGTATATAATGCAGAAGCAAATGTTTCTCATATGTAAAGTTCTGGCAGACAGCACGTTGGTTGGAAACTACTCGAAAGGTAGGAAAGGGATGTGTGACCAAAGTTTATGACCGACTGCTTGTAACATGTTCTGCTCACATACAAAGTAAAACATTTAAAATATAGTTCTGCAGTCATATGAGACAATTAAACTGTAATTAGGTACATAATTTTGACTGTTGTATTATTTATATACACTAGGGAGGGGGGGGGCTTAAAATAGTAAAAGTCACGAAGTGAAGTTAAATATTGATTGTGAAGGATATTATCTTCTGGGACATTACACTATGTAGTCTGGTAGATGTTCACATACGTTTCGGTGGAAGTTACAGCCTCCATCATCAAGGTCAAAGAGTAACCACACAAAATTCTTGTTGCTTGGCTTTTGGTTACCTCATCATAGTCTGACCCTTAAGATGGTAACAGTACGCTCCTTTGAAACGTTTGTAGACTTCTACCAGTCTGTACGTTGTATTCCAGAAGAAGGTGCCCTTCATTTTCACTGCCATGACAGACTTACGTTTCAGATACGGAAAGAAGGAAGTTGACAAAGATACACGAAAATTGCGAGAATAAGATTATTGCGCGTATCAGTGTGTATAAACACGAAAACAATACATTGCATATTGCACATACTTTCTAATATACGAATGAATTTGGCTACGTAACCTTGGAAACGACCATTAGCCATTGTTGGACGCTAAGAACATGTGATGACTGCGTAAGCATTTGGGCTCCTACTGTGCATGCCGTTATTTTCCTGAAGATGCCACCTCTATAGCTTTATTTAGGGTACGATCTCCATAAGTCACTGAAGTTTAATCAAAATCATTTGAGCCGTTTTATAGAAAATTGCAATTTTGTCTTCTGGGTCCCATCTGAAAGGCCCCTATTTCTAGAGTTAAATATCCATATTCACGGGACACACAACTAAAATGGATGAATGTTTAAATACAGAATGTGGACTGTTGAGTCGCTAGCGAAGGACCAGTGGCGGCCCGTGTATACGCACTGCGGAACTGCAGCGCCCCCAATTTCCACTTGATATTATCGATAACATTTATATAATGAGTCCTTTTTTCTTTCTTTCTTTCTTTATACTTGTACAATACAATATATAACCCTTAAGCTTAATGTCAGTAGCCAAATCTTTGTATGGAACTGTGCGCTTCTGGAGCAGCATCCCCACTAATTTTACCTACGAGCCGCCACTGCGAAGGACACATGTAGACAGACGGCACTAAAAACACATTTGCTTAATCCTGTGAGCGATTTTTCCACCATCTCAGTGTGTATTCGAGAAGGCAGGAGTGAGTATTTAGTGGAGCAGGTACCAGTCTCAAATAATACAGGTCTATTAAACTTTGGAATCTTTTTTTATTTATTCCACATTAGCTCTACACACTAAAACAATCATAAGTAATGTGTTATTTATCATTATACATAATCACAGCAACAAAGTCAGTATTCACAACATTTATTTGTTAGTTGGGATGTTATTGAAGTCTGGACTGAGCATTTTGATTTCAGCCCATATCATAAACGAATGAAAGAAACAGAGAAATTAGAAATTACTCAACTGTCTTTTTTTTCTGAAAGAATATTTATTATTGGCTGTAATATTATTTACCATTCTCTTCAATTTGTTGTAAAAACTTATTGAGATAGGAACTAGAAAATTGTGACATTTACTACAGACATTTATTAGCTAAATTATTTTTTTTTTCAAAATAATTAAAGGTACAAATTGTAAATGATGAAGCATTTCGAAGATTGTTGGTAAACGAATTTCCGTCACTGTAACAACATCCGTTAGGATACTTATCATCACATTATTGCATTTTTATTGCACTTAATGGCCAACATAACGCACCCTTTGGACTACGAATCATACAGCAATAATTTGGTGTCAGAATGGTATTAAACATGGCCACGATCAAGGCTAGTTTCCGGTTTCACATTCAAATCAAAACAGACCGAAGTGAAGACTAATGTTATCATCAGTAATACGTAGATAACTGAGCTTTATGAAACTGAAATTTAAACGACTATGTATCACAGACGTTTAATTAAAGATGTGCAACAGGATGCTGAAATACAGAACTGAAATTTATTTGTATCCATTGCGTAATTGTTGAACATAGACGGCAAAATAAACCGCAAAACAAAGTCAGATCATAATTTTACGTTGGCTGATGTGAAGTTCTTATTAATACTGATAATGATATGGAACCATCTACGCATAGATGTTAAAATTATCTGTAATGCAATGTTGTCCCTGTGCTTAACTAATTAAGCACTACGCCATGAAGACATGTGGGGGATCTGAGGTAAATATCAACATTTCCTTGACCTCGGCACTACTTGGAGGTGAGTGGTCAGCTTCACGCCCCTGCCGCTTTATCCCCGGGGAAAGGGTCACCGGTACCCGTTGGATAGGAGGTTGGGTGAAATTATCTGTGAAACATTTAATTGCTCGGCGAATTTAGTGTGTCGTGCCGCGAAACCGGGAAGATTTACCCTATAAGAATTTAGTTAATGATGAAATTAATTTGTTGCGCCTGTTTTCGAGCGTAAGAGAAATGGAAATGTTGTGTACACGTTCTCACAACGGACTGGCGTACTGGTGTCTCGTGGTGTGAATTGTTTCTTATGGAGACTTTTCCTTCACAAATGTTTAAACTAATTGCAGTAATTATAATTACTGGCGCCATATTGATAATTATGCACGATGAACATATTACTTAAACTGCGAAACGTTGTAAATAGTTCAGTCTATTTCATTTTTATTGGCGACATATGTCTCTCTGCCCCTTTGACTCTTTATAATGGTAATTATACGTACCGTCCTCAGAAGAGAAACAGTATTAACATGCTGGTCTTTGTGATGGAGAAAAACTTTTCTGTTTCTGAGGTGCGGGAACTGCAATGAGCAGTATTTACGCGACTCTTCATGTTTCAAAGTGTTAACATTTTCTTTGTTCTTCCTCAGGCACAATCGATGGATTTGTTTCCGCGTGTTGTGATGTAACGCCGTACGAACACGAATTTCCTTCCGCCAGAAAGAAACCCTGGCCGAGGGAACGCTCGGTACCGTGCCCACTTCTAGCAGTGGCTGACTGTTCTTTGTTGGAAATTATTTTAGACCTATGATATTTCATACATTTCTGTGTGTGTGATGAATACAAGGGCTCCGATGTGAGGCGCTGTTGCCACAATGAAGGAAATTCAAGGGATTCGTACTGTATAAGTCCTGTCTGGTCGCCGCCAACAGTGATGTCCCTCTTTCTGACCTTTATACTTCTAGATCTAGCGGAAACAATTGCAAGAGTGGATAACAAAATGAAACTACAGTCTTGTTCCCTCCTTCCTTCAAGCAGATATCGACTCATGCTAATTTGTACGGTTTGAAACCCGGTAAAAGCATTCAAGTTACATTGTCCTATAACAGGCCGTCGAGGCTCCCACATTTTCTAGACACTCGGCTCACATATAGCTGTGAGGTTGTCAGCCTTACGCGCCGGCCACTCTTTACCCCTAGGAATATTCCTGGTAGTCATTTCTGTTAGAGGCTGAGTCGATCCCAGGGCCATAGTGCCGCTGTAAGGATTAGGACAATTGAAAAATCGAGTGCCCTCATTGAAATTCGAGCCCACTACCTTCCGGCTTGTAGCGCATTCGAGCTATGTATATTGTACGGTACTGAAATGTTTTCGGTATAGAAAAGTATCGGTTATGTATAAGATTGAATGTTCCGCTGCTTTTGTCTTGTTTCCCATGAGAGCAAA